GCTTGCCTTAGAAAATACACTGAATAGACAAAACCCTCCACAACCAGTAAAGTATGGGAATAAATGATGACAAAATGTTTCGGTCCCAAATGATGTTCAGTGATAAAACTTAAACATTTTTCTGATGTTCCCATGCAGTTGGCTAAGAGGGTGTAATGGAAAAGGCATAAGGCTTGGACTCAGAAGGCTCAAATGTGGATTAATTAAGGGGCGGTAGGCTCCACGTGGGTTGATTCTAATCTATTGTTACGGTTTACAGGATTCCAGACAGCATTGGAAAAGACATAGAAAAGGCTTGCCAATCTATCTATCCGCTCCATGATGTCTTTGTTAGAAAAGTCAAAATGCTGAAGAAGCCCAAGTTTGAATGTAAGTAAAACACTGGATCCCTGGAAAATGTTATGTGGCCAAATAGCATTTTTGGTGTTTGTTTTTTTGGATGGCAAGATAATGGCTTTTGACAGTATTGAACGACCAGTTTCAAGATATGGTATGCTATAACAATTTTTTTCTTCCTTTTAGTGGGAAAACTAATGGAGCTTCATGGTGAAGGTAGCAGTTCTGGAAAAGCTACTGGGGATGAGACAGGTGCTAAAGTTGAACGAGCTGATGGATATGAGCCTCCAGTCCAAGAATCTGTTTAAAATTCAGACATTTAATGGTGACAAATAAAAAAACCTATTTGTGATATTTTATTTCTGATCATTTAAAAAGATAATCTTACAGCTTGGTGACTTATGTTCTGAATTGATAGTGAACTTTTCTGTGCTGTTCTGTGGATTTTTATCTATTTCTCAAAGTAGCTGAGAAAGGATAGTTATGATTTTAAGCTGTAGCTATCTGGAGGTGTTAGAGATGGCTAATAAAAGAAAACAGTTTCTTAACATGACTTAAGTTTTGATGGTTTTAAAACCATCTGGAAAGCTTGTTAAAACATTGCAGGGCCCTGCCCCTGGACTCCTGAAGCTTTTGTGTAATGCTGATGCCCAGGACCACTTTGAGAAACCTCTGTGACAGGCTGACTAATGGAGTCGATTGGCTTTTAGTTTTTAAACCCAAATGCTATCTTTTTCCTGTAGTTTTAAAATGCCCCACTGTGCACGAGCTGAACTTGGTTAGAGAAATTGATTACTGGTGTATTAGTGACCATTTCATGTAGTTCACTATTCAATAGTGAATACTCCACTCAGTCTACTGTAGCCTTCCTCTTTTTTAAACCTCTTATTTGCACTCAGATGATTCCCATGACTTTCACCTTGCCATTTATGGATGTGTTCACGTTTTCTGTCTTACTGAATTTTTTGGACCGTTATCCCATTTGAACGCCCGTATTTTCCTTCCTCCTGCTTAATTAAGCTCGTTGTTCCAGGAATTCTCACCTTTGTCCGTATTCCTTCTACCAATCCCCTTACAGCAAAGTCAAGAGTTAACCATGCTTTTTGTATCTATTTTTTTTTCTTGAATCTGCTGCAATTGGGTTCTCTTGCACACCTTTCTTGCTGTCAAGATTACCATTGCCTTTGTTATAAGTCCAGTGGTTCATTCTTGGTCTTTTATTTTACTTGGCTTGACCTCTATTAAGTGTTATTTGGTAGTTGATAACCTCCAGTTTATAACTGTCCTTCAAAATCTCACCTCTTAAGTTTTTCTTATATTATTGGCTACTCCTTTGCTAGTTCATTCTCAGACCTATGCTTACCAGTACTCAACTGGTAAGTGACCCTGTGCCCTTATGTGGGAGAAAGTGGGTCACAGTCCATCTATTGCCTCTGTTGACAAGAATTAGATCAGTTTAAACTTGCTAGTAATGAATAGTCTGGGCTTAGAATATAGAGGGGCAACTTAAAGACCTACTGCTCCTCCATCTCCTTGGACTTACAGTCTGGAAATCTGAAGAGAATGATGTCAATGCTATAAATTGGCTATATCTGTTACTTTGAATCTTAATAGTAATAGCTTTATGAGATTATAATCTCATTAATCAGTGGCTGATGGGGGAGCATGTGTAAAAATTAAGAGGCCGGATGCATAAAATTTGTTCATGGGTGTGGTCCCTAGGCCTGGCCGGCGATGGAAGCATGGCATCTGGTATGTGCCCATCCCCCGACTCCCTGAGTCATAGTGCCCAAGTCCCTACCCTGGAAATGGCATTGAGCACAGCCAGATGCTACAGGTGGGCCTCTGGGAAGCTGGCTGGGCAGCGTGCTCTCCTGGCCAACCTTGAAGACTGGCTCCTGTGCAAACCCACAAGGAGCCTTGCGGGCTCTTGTCTGGGGGCTGTGGCCTGGCTCACCTAAAAGAGATGGTGCATGGCAGGCTCTCCATGGGTTCCCGGCCCTTGGGGTGTAAGCCCTGGTGTCCTGGGGGAGAGGAGTAGAGTGTGAGCAAGCTTGGCAGTCACCCTGCACTCTCACTGCACCTCTGTCCCCATCACCTTTGCCCCCAGGTAGCTGGCTAGAGGTCACAGCCCGTTGCAGACTGCCATGTTTGGCACTGCCCCCTGGTGGTCAGTGCATATCAAATTGTCAAACTCCAGATTGAATGGCTGCTCCAGGGGACAATTTGCATGTTAGGCTTTTATTACAGGATTCTAGTTTGGCCAAGAGTGTCCTGCAAAGGAGTAAATTGTGAGTAGCAGCCAGCTATAGATCCTGTGTCCCTGCATGCTCTTGTTGGGTATGCCAAGACTACAGTTCTCTGATGGCTCTTTATCTGGGCTATTTCTCAGGGTTGTATTTGCATACACGAGAAACCTTGACGGATGAGGTAATGTCTCCCTCTGGAAAAAGAGCAGACTTGTTCCACTTAATAATGGTAAATCTTAGTGTACCTCTTCTGTAATGCAACCCACTGTGATGGGCCCTTTGCATCACTTCTGTGGGACTTGAGGGGAAGGGAAACAAATGAACTTGAAGCTCTGATTACTGCTTTTGCAATGAGTAATAAAGCCCTTTTTTAGTCTTGTGTCTTGCCAGCATCCATAAAACTGGCAGGCTGACTTTTTAAGCTAAGTTGGATAAAATGTCCAAATGGCCCATTCCTGACACCCCCTCCCCAATTATTTTGAAGAAACATTTTGCATGTATTTAAAATGACTTTTAAAAAGTAATATACATGCTGCTGAGGTGGGCGCTCATGATTTCTTGCCCAGCCAGTATTTCTCAGAAGTTGAGGGTTGATTTATGAACCAGGAGGTCATGATTGGTTGCCAGTCAGGACACATGCCTGGGTTGCTGATTCAATTCCTAGTGGGGGACGTACAGGAGGCAGCTGATCAATGATTTTCATCTGACATTTCTCTCTTTAAAATAAAAATATTTTTAAAAAATATGATTAAAAAGGAAACAACCAGTTATTACCTCTAAATTTATATAATTCCTTGATATAATTTCAGTCATACCAATTTAATGGGTAAATATTTACTGGATACAATGTGATAAGCAATCTAAGTGAAAGCTATGAAGGGTAGCTTCCTTTTACTAAGAACATAAAGTCAAAGGAATTATTGTAGGCGTCATTAGCTCTTAGAAGTTTATTTGCAGTACTGTGTGTTGTATGAAAATATAACCACAGTGGTGGAAACTGACAATACAAATAGATTGACAAAATGTTGGAAAGGATATGGAACTGAAACATTAACCGTGAGGTATAAAATGGTATAGCCACATTGGACAATGGGCAGCTCTTTTTTAAAAGTTATTTTTTAGTTGGTTTTAGAGAGAAAGGAAAAGAGATAGAAACATCAATGATGGTCATAACCAGTTGCTCAGTGGTTAGAGCACCAGCCCTCTGACTGGGGTTGTGGGTTCAATTCCGGTTAAGGGCACATATCTGGGTTGCAGGTTCAATCTCTCTGGCCCCAGTTGGGGCATCTGCAGGAGACAACCAATCAATGTGTGTCTCACATTGATGTTTCTCTCCATGTATCTTGACCCCCTCCCCCACTCTAAAATAAATTGAAAATAGCCTCAGGTGAGGGTTAACAAAACAAAAAAAGGAAAGAAACATCAATTATCAACTACCTCCTATACATCTCACCATTGGTGATCTAGCCCCCAACCTGGGCATGTGCTCTGTCTGGGAATCAAACCGTGACCTCTTCGTCCACAGGTTGACCCTAAACACAGCCATGCCAACGGGGCATGTTTGATTTTCTAGGTAATCTATATATAAAAGCCTAAGCAACTAGGGGGCAGATGCTCAACACAGGAGCTGCCCCCTGGTGATCAGTGAGCTCCCACAGTGGGAGTGCTGCTCAGCTGACTGAGTGCCAGACGGGCTCATGGCTGGCAAGTGCAGCTGCAGCAGCATCAGCCTCTTCCACCTCCTCAGTAGTGCTACTGAGCTATGTGGTGTCAGGCACAGCGGAGCCAGGATGAGCAGGAGCAGTATGGCACCCAGCCTGGGCTTGGGCTCCCCCACAGCTGCCTGCTGCTTCACATATTACTACATGCCTCGGGGGATGTTGGACTGCATGTTTCTGCCTGATCCCCACAGGGCCGAAACCAGCAGTCCAACATCCCCCTAGGGGTCCCAGATTGTGAGAAGGCTCAGGCCAGCCTGAGGGACCCCATTGGTGCACGAATCAGTGCACCAAACCTCTTATGTAAATATAAATTGTCTACATAGTACTGAGAAGCTGAGCAGGAATATTCTTTTTTTTTTTTTTTTTTTAATATATTTTATTGATTTTATACAGAGAGGAAGGGAGAGAGATAGAGAGTTAGAAACATCGATGAGAGAGAGTCATCGATCAGCTGCCTCTTGCACACCCCCTACTGGGGATATGCCCGCAACCAAGGTACAAGCCCTTGACCGGAATCGAACCCGGGACCCTTCAATCCCCAAGCCGACGCTCTATCCATTGAGCCAAACCGGTCCTGGCATGAGCAGAAATATTCTTGAATGAAATTCAAGACATTAATTTATTCATTGTAACTTGTTCTAGTCCTATTATACCTAAGAAGTTAAAAGTTGTACAGGCCAATAAAACGGATCAATTATACTTGTTTAACTGCTAAAGAGAAATGTATCACTTCAGCACAACAAATGGATAAAGTACTGAATTGGTAAACAGTGGAGCTAGGTTTTACTTTAGGTTCTGTCATTACCTGTATGGCCTTAGGCAAATCATTTAACCTCTGCAGGTCTAGCTCTAGTCTGCAGGCTCTCTGTGGTGTGTAACTGGATGAACTTGCCATTAGGTGAGAGGCCCCTAGATGGTGCTGTTGTTCTGAGATAGGCTTTGTATTTTTTCCCCCTGTATTATTATTGTGAAATAAAAAGGCATAGGTTAGAAAATGATTTCCTATTCTGGAAAAATGCACCATTAAGAGTTCATTCAATGGCATTCAAAATGGCAGTGAATTATAAGTCATATGCATGGCCCATATGCATCTGACATTAATTAAAAGGAATAAATCATTAACGACTATACCAAATATCTCATTATACTATGCCCATATAGCCATCATTATTTTTTTTTAGGTATATTTACCTAAGCCTAAGATACTGAATAAAAATGAAGTAATTATTAAGAATATTGATGTATAAAAACCTTATATAAAAAGAAAACTTAAAATACTAATTCTAATGATGATGACTGCACTGATACTTGGAATGTTTCAGATTGCATTCAAAGCCTGTGATTTACATGAACATAATGAAAGATTATATTACCCCTCCAGCTATGTTAAGCAAGGGCATTTTTTAATGAAATCTGTCTTTGTGCTTCAACAGGTAATTAAAGGGTAAAAAAAATATGTTAAATGAGTTCTATAGTTTTAATAAAAAATTTTAAAAAAGGATTTGGAGATTGTACTTATAGGAGGCTTGGATGAACAATATCAAATTTTTCACTTAAAATTCCCAAAAGGAAAAATATACATTCCCATTTTTCCCCTATGAAATTATGCTGGATTAATATACAGAATAAGCAAGTATCTATGAAAACCTGTTCCAAGCTACATTTTGTCTTGTCACTTGAGTGAATAATAAATGACAAGCAAAAATTGTAGCATGACAAAGTGAAATGACATAAAAATTGAAAATTTTTGTTTCAATAAAGATTTTTGTCAACAAATTGAGGAAAGATATTAGATCTCAGGGTATTCAAGATGGTATTGCTATATAAGTTCCCCATCCATCTAAACAATCAACTTTTATTGATATTATATTGAGCAAAGGGCTGGAGTCATAAAGAGAAGATACCATTTCCATTCTCAAAAAAGTCTAGTCTGAGAAAAGGACTTTGAAAAGTTCAGTTTATTATAATGTCAAGTAGATTTACAACTATTGCACTTATCATTCTGCTGACAAAATTTAAGAGGATATTTTTCTCCAATAAAGCTAAGTTTTCATGATTTTTAATGTAAGATGTTAAAATTACACAGGCAAATATGTATACCTCATGTCCTTTTCAGATACATACCCTACTTCTTATTATACAGCTGGCTGCAAACAGGAATTAATTGGGATAATGCTTTAAGTCCCATTTCTCTTGAAATTACTTGAGTAAAATTTGACATAATAAAAAAGTTTTCTTTATATTGTCTTCTTTACCCAAAACATGTAGAAGAAATAGCCCCCATATCAATTATAACCACATAACTGGCAGATAACTTTTAATCAAAGACAAAGTAAAAACTCTTCCCTTAGAGAATACCATCTCATGTTTGACAATTAGCTACCTAACTTTTTGGTAGAAAATAATAAAATGGGAAATAATAAAAGCTAAAAAGTGGCCCTGTATATGAAATTCTTCTTAAAAATCGAAGAGAGTCATGAACATTGTTGGGAAAGTGTTTCACATTTCCAATGAAATTCTATTCCACTGATCTGTTTGGAAGATTGTCTTTAACCTATTTGGCTTTAGCCCATAAAATGTAATTTATTCAGTCACATAAAGAACTGCTTTTATCTTAAGGTTGACATGCCTAACAGTGAATTTAGCAGGAAAGTATGTTTTTTAAATTTTTTTATTTTTTATTTATTCTAATTGTGAAGGGATGAGCTGGGGGAAAAAACCACAAAAAAGTATCAGCCTTCAGTCTTCTTAAATTATTTTTCATTTGATTATATTGGGAAGAAATGAGATGTGGGGCTTGGCATTGTTTTTCATCTTAACAGTTACTCTGTATTTGAGATAATGTGATTCATAATGTATCACTATAACAAGACACAGCTTTTACATATTACTGGGGTAACACAAAGAAAATGAATTTTTCTTTGGGTACCAGTAATTGTCGAAAGAATGATTGCAGATTCAGAAAATGTGCTTTATAACAACCCTGTATAAAGTATAAATGGATAAAAGAAGTAAGTACAGCAAGTATGTGGAAAGGTTAGTCATATTAGCAAGGCATCTCAGGACGGTTTTGGTTCATTTAACTAAGATGCTTTACATTTTAACCCCCTTCAAATTCGTGGACAAAGGGGAAATACTTATTAACACCAGAAGCATTTGGTGAGCATGAGCTGATTCACCAGGAACCTTACACAGGCTCCAACAAGTTAAACTACCCCCTCCTGAAGCAAGGATTTGCCCTGATAATAAGGACAATGTGCTCAAGCTGTTAGAATTAATTTGAATATCACAAATGAAATTTAGATTACCAACCATGACTTGATGGTTACAGCATGTAGAATATTGAATGTCCTCTTTTTAAAGTAAAAAAAAAAAAAAAAAGAAAGAAAAAGAAGCGTGTTTAATTGACTTTTGCTGATGAAAATAGATGTTGAAGCACAGCTTTTGCGTGTAGGCCCCCTTTGCTGCCAGGTCACCAGGCACTTTCCCTGGGGGAAGTGTTTTACTGTCTTGCTCATCCTGCTGATGTTTTACTTGGTAGAATACTTGCTCATTGATTTTCATGTGTTCGTTTCTACTGTGATGAAATCCAGACATTTTTTGCTTTCAGAAAATTCTAGTGTACCATTACAGCATAGATATTTCTTTCAGTTTAAAAAATAGTGCAAAAAACCCATATCTGATAGTCGAAGTGATAGTTCTTGTGCCAAGAGACACAGTCAAGCTTCACCTTTACCCGACTTGTAAAACCTGAACATAGTTTTTGGGAAATATTCCAGATTTTCCCATTAGTTCTCCACTCATCCAGTCATCATCTACAGATTCCAGCTCTGTAATTGTATCTCCAGCCTGTAAGAAGACAGGAATTGGAAATAATTATTAGTTTATGTTGAGTACAAGCATGCTAGGCAGTATCTGGAGAGGGATGTATTCTGTGACTGCCGACAGGATTAAATGATATACCACAAAGGTAATCTATGCCTAATGATGCCACTCCTTTGCCGTTGTTGCCCTTTTATTTCTCTGCTGTATTTTGTGCCCCCTAAATTCATTCCTAATTTAAATTTTTCTTTAATAAATAACAATACCAGCTATCATATATATGTATTTGTGTGTGTTTACTAACAATATTATATATATATATATATGTATATGCACACACACACACACACACACACACCCCTCACTCCCCATCTAACAATTATTTATTCAGCATCCACTATGTTACAGATACTGTTATTCTAGAGTGAGGAGACAAATGGCAGAGAAAGAAAGTGTGGGGTTGGTTGCTATCTCATTAGAGCAGCCGGGGAAGGTCCCATTGAAGGTGACATGTAAGCAAAGACTTGGAAATGAGTGAGCCATGTGCTTACTTTGTATGTGTTTTCCCATTTTATGTACTTTAAGAGAATTAATTCATATACACAATAGAGCAGTCCTAGAGAGATATTTGTATAGATTTCCTTAATTTAAAGAAAAGGAAATTTAAACTCAGAGAGATTAAGTAATTTGCTCAGTGTCCCATGTCCAGTTAGTTAGTGGAAAGGACATGACTCAAATCTAGTGTTATTTCAGGGCCCTTATTGCTAACCATCAGGCAATATGGCCACCGCATTTTACAGTAGACTCTTCACTTAGAAAGGCTTTTACTGTAATTGTCTTTTTTTCCATATCCTGAGCATTTTGTACTGTACATTTACTCTTCTACATAATGGCATTCTCTGCCATTTGGTTCATTCCATCCTCCCTGGCCTCAATAGCAAATGTACATTCTTTCCTGACTTAAAGAGCTTCACTGACCCAGAACACTGATTTGTTCTCATCAGCACAGTCAAAGGGACTGCGTATCTTATTCATGTGTAAATTATAACTCCTTAACAGATGACATAATTTTTGAAATTATCTCCTGGAACTATTTTGTTCTTTATTGTTTCTAACCATTTCTTAGAATCTTGATTTAAGATTCCATAATGGTCCAAAATGACCCTGGCTACTTGAAAGATTATCAAGCTAAATGGATTTATTTGTAGCTCTAGTACATAGCCCTCTGGAAAATGGTTTGATTTAAGGCCTTTCTTTAAGGAAAATGGAAAGAAAAATTCTGACTATCAAATGTCATTAATTTACTTTACTCTGCTAAAATCTGTAAAACTTCTGACTACTCAAAGTTTCTATTATAAAAAATTCCTTCCATGCCGAAACCGGTTTGGTTCAGTGGATAGAGAGTCAGCATGCGGACTTAAGGGTCCCGGGTTCGATTCCGGTCAGGGGCATGTACCTTGGTTGTGGGCACATCCCTGGTAGGGTGTGTGCAGGAGGCGACTGATCGATGTTTCTCTCTCATAGATATTTCTAACTGTCTGTCTCTCTCTCTCTTCAAAAAATCAATAAAAATATATTTAAAAAAATAAAAAGTTCCTTCCAGTCCTAAATTATAACATAATGGCTGATTAAAACTATTTTTCTTAGCTCTGTTCCATATATACATATATAGTATGTCAATTTTTTGAGGGCTAGCACACTTTTAAAAAAGTTTTATCTACAAATATTTTGTGGATATTTATTAAAATATTAATGGTCAATACTGAAGGCAGTGCAGAATCCCTTAACTCAAACCTCTAGAACGATCTTGCTTAGATTGTAAAACAATGACCTCCTATTTTCTTTTTCTTTCTTTCTTTCTTTCTTTCTTTCTTTCTTTCTTTCTTTCTTTCTTTCTTTCTTTCTTTCTTTCTTTCTTTCTTTCTTTCTTTCTTTCTTTCTTTCTTGTTTGTTAATCCTCATCCAATCATATTTTTCTATTAATTTTTAGAGAGAGTGAAGGGAGGGAAGGAAGGGAGAGAGAAACATTAATGTGAAAGACACATGGATTGGGTCTCTCCCACAGGCGCCCTGACCAGGGCTGGAGATGTTCCTGCAACCCAGATATGCGTCCTTGACTGGAATCGAACCCGTGTCCTTTGGTATGTGGGCTGACGCTCTAACCACTTGGAAGCACTGGCCAGAGTGACCACCTACTTGCTGAAAGATACTGTGAATTGTTATTGATATACCATAACGTAAATGAATGCCAAAATAACATCCAAAAAATGTGAATCTAGATTGTTTACTTGAAGTAACATTCTATGTACAGATAAAAGGAATGAATTTTTAGCTACTGGGGCAACAGAACTTGGCTTCCAAACATTTGGATTTTAAGAACCAAGAAATTTTAGGAATGAATAAATAAATAAATAGATACATAGATAGAGGGTTATCGAATCATAATTTTGCATAAGAAATACCTATCATTTACTAACAGTATTTTATCATAGAAATGACATTTTAATATGAAAAAGATAAAAGAAGTTATCAGAAGGAACGCCTCATTACAAAATAGGGAAGTTAACATCCTTATAACTGACATATCTCAGCATACCCCTTTTATCCTGACTCCCCAAAAGCCTGCACATACCCAGTATCACAGAATTTTCCTCATTTTGTTATAAATAGGTGAAAATCTCGTTTGGGTACGCATTCTTTTAAAATACATCTTGTCCAATCACTCCTTGATGCTTTCATTCTTTCTGTGGCATTTTAGCTCTCTAAATATCTCCAATGATGGAAAATTTGCCGCTGACCCAGACTCTTCTGTGAGCAATGACTGCTAACCTTACCCCTCTTCCTCTGGCACAGTCCCAGAGTATTACCAAGGCGGCTTTCCTCTGACTGTGGTCCAACCATAGATTAGGATCATGAAAATATTTTGTTTTTACTTTTTTTTTTTTTTTAAAAAAAGAGGCACTTCTTTGATGAAGTAAGATTAAATTGTAATTTTCTAAAAAACAAAATAACAAAAAAAAGAACCCTTGGCAATGTAGCTTAACTTTTTGGGATCATTTCCTGGCCCGTGTCTTTCTGGACAAGCCTCACTCAGTGTCTTATGAGGCCCTGGTGCAGTGGCCAATTGCAGCAGGTACCTGACTTCCCCATTGATTTGATAGATATGACAATAGCAGGCAACAATGGCCATGTAGAGAATCATCCTTTACTAGGGCTACCAATGAAAACTCAAGTATTACTAAAATCTAATGTTACAAGGCCTACGAATAAGGAATTTGTTCAGTGATTGTAGGGCTATCAAGCCAATTTATTTGAGTATCTAAATGCCTTGCTAATATTTGCCTAATCTTGTTCCTTAGATTTAGGGCATGAGATGTTCATTCTTGGCAAATGGTCAATATGCCACCCAGATGTTCCACCCTTCAATGGAAGATATTTCAAAATTTATAGTTGCTTAATACAGGAACTAAAAATGCACGTTCTGACCTTGAAGGAAAGCTCATCTTCATTGTCCCCATGGAAATCATACAAGGCTTTGGCCTTCCTCCCCTTCAGTGCCAAAGGAGACATACTTTTCATGTCAGCTGTGGAAACACCAAAATACAGAACATACTAAAACACAAATCCGACATTTTAAGAAACCTCCTTGTTATCCCCAGGACAAAATATTTTCAATTAATTTTGAATTAACTTGCAAAAAGATGAAGGATGTTCTCTTAGCAGGAAAAAAAATCATAGAAATATATTTTTATGTTTCTAAAAAAAAGTATAGAAAATTGGCCATTATCAAGTGATGGCATTTTTACCTTTTCTCTCCTATAACTCGAACAAAGTATGAAGTACTAGGTGTACTGGTTAATAATGTGGATTTTGTAATCAAAGAAAACACAGTAATTTCAAGAGAAACATCAAAAGTGCTTTATTCAAAGTTACATCTATCGCTAGCTACACATTTTCCCCATCTTTCAGGTAATTTGTAGATACCGTCCCAATAGAATTTTTCTTGTTTTGAGGCAAACCATTTAGAGACCCAATTTTCCACTTCTTCGTACATTTTGAAGTGCTGCTCAGAAAATGCGAGTGCCGCCATCAATCTGCACAAGTGGTAATCTGAAGGAGCAAGGTCTGGTGAATACAGCAGGTGGGTTAATACTACCCAGGCAAGATCTTTTAACATGTCCTTAATTGGTTTTGAAGTGTGTGATGGTTTATCATCATGAAGCAAAATTACTTTACCGTGTCTTCTGCCACTTTCTGGTGGTTTCACAATCAAAGCATGGTTCAAATTGATTATTTGTTGTTGGCAGTGATCAGTATTAATGGTTTCAGCTGGTTTTAGAAGCTCATAATACACCACACCTTCCTGATCCCATCAAATGCAGAGCATTGTCTTCTTACCGAAGCAATTTGGCCTTGCAGTCGGTGTTGGTTGTTGACCTGGATCAACCCGTGATTTTGTGCATTTGGGATTCTCAAAATAAATCCACTTTTCATCTAGTCACAATTTGATGCAAAAAAGACTTTTGTGCAATTGAAGCAACATTGTGCTGATGATTTTTGGTTTTCCATTTGTCTTTTGTTCAGTTGATGTGGCACCCACTTTCCTTCCTTTAAAATCTTTCCCATTGCTTGTAGATGATCAGAAATTATTTGCTGAGCAACATTTAATCTTTCTGCATGTTGTTTTTGAGTTTGACACGCATCTTCACCCAATAATGCTTGTAATTGTTGGTCTTCAAACTTTTTCGGTTGACCTGGACATTCTTTGTCTTTCACATTGAAATCACCACTTTTAAAGCGTTTAAACCAGCATTCACAAATATCTTGAGATGGAGCATGTTCACCATAAGCTTCCCAAAGTATACGATAACTTTCAGCAGCACTTTTCTTCAAATAAAGTAATGAATTAAAATTTCCCACAAATGCTTTTTTTTTTGGTCAAGAAATACGATATTTTTAACACCTTCAACAAATTTGATAAATGTAAGTTTTGAAGCTTGCTGTCAATAACAAAAGAACATACATATCAAATCACATATATATCAACATATGTGTAACTCCATCTATTGAAAAAAAATCCACATTATTAACCAGTACACCTGGTATGAAGAAGAGCTGACTTTATGAATTAACTGTTTAAAATGAAGGCAAACAACTTAAACTGATTTGGCCAGAGGGAAAAGAAATATGTATCGTTTTAAGGTTTTGGGCTCCCCTTAAAGAGAGTTATTGTACCTGGGCAGGGCCGCACAAAGACTGCGGGGAAGATCCCCTCCCTGTTGCGCAGTCTGCCCTTGTACCAGTCGGAGTCCAGCCGCTGGAGAATCAGGATCCGTTCTCCCCTCTTGAAGGGTAAGTCATCACTGGTCTCTGCCGTAAAACTGTGAAGTGCTTCACACCATTCTCCAGAAAGACTGTCATCCTGTTACAAAACAGAGGTTTGATAGGAAATATAAGATTTTATTTGAAACTAGAGGCCCGGTGCATGGATTTTTATACGAAGGGGAGGGGTCCCTCAGCCTGGCCTGTTCCCTCTCACAATCCATGATCCCATTGTAGGATGTTCGACTGCTGGTTTAGGGCTGAGCCCCGTGTTGAGCACCTGCCTCCTGGTGGTCAGTGTGCATCATAACAACTGGTCAACCAATCATTCTGATCCTTTGGTCTAAACTTCACTTAGGTTTTTATATATCTAGATTTATTTCTACAGAGCTTAAAAAAATAGTGAGGAAAAAGCTAAGGGGTCATAAGATTTCAAAGCCTGAAGCTTTCTTTAAGTCACCCAACACTTTATGTTGCTATCTAGTTTCAGAAATAAAAATTTCCATTAAGTTTTTATCTTTAAAATATAATTCAATGTGACAGTTGTGATAAATTTGTGGCTTTCCTGCTTTTGAAGAATATATAATATTTAAGAAAAACTTTTTTCTAATTATGATCTATGACATTAGTTCTATCTTAAAAATTAGATAAAAGCACACAGTATTCATGTATAGTATTTATAACACTATGAAAGAATTCTGGAAGGCATATAATTTCCAGTGAAACTCTTCTAAATTATGGAGGATTAGAATGAATAGACTGTTAGTTCCTAGGTCTTTACTTAATTCAGAAGCTATCGGATTCCATGGCACAGGATTTCATTAATTCACTACTAATTTCATGAGGTGTAGCTAGCCCGAAAGCTGGCAGAATAACTACCCAAATATGGTGGGCTAGTATGGTGGAATGTACCAGCAAGAATGCTTTTACCCCAAATACAGTAGAGGAAGGTTCTGTTCTGTGAAGAGGCATCTCTGCCAAGTTAGGATGGGAGCCCTAAGTTCAAGAAACAACCAGCTGAGCTACCTTTACCCAGCAGGGCTAGTACCCTGTTTCCCTGAAAATAAGATAGTGTCTTACATTAATTTTTTCTCCCAATGTTGCGCTAGGTCTTATTTTCAGGGTATGTCTTATCTTTCCATGCGCTAGGTCTTATTTTCAGAGGATGTCTTATTTTCGGGGAAACACAGTAGCTATCTATCCAAGCAGCCTACCTGAGAATCTGCTCCAGAATCTTCTTTTTTTGTCTTCAGTGGTACCTTTGTGCCTATGTTAAAAAAAGTCAAAACTTCAGATGTAAAGTTTATATAGTATTGGAGAGAAACCTTAGGGGAGAGTGAAAAGTCTGGGATTGCAGACCAGTCTCTTCGTAATTCTAACCAGACACTGTCCTCTCTGGGCTTTTTCTCTTTTCCATACAGTGAAGGAAGATGCATTAGTTATACGCTCTAGCCCATTTCTGTTTAAAGGCCTATGATTATTCATATGCCATTTCTGATATGAAGCTATTGCTATTTACCTAAAATATCAATACCAGCTCTCTGATTACTTCAGTAAGAGTTATCCCACACAAATGACCGTTTTTAAATAATTTCTCATTCTATCTTAAAAAATATGGCAATATGGATTATTTTGCAGCTCAAGTACTATCCTATTATTTAGTTTATTTCAATTAAGACAGAATATAATAAAAATGATATTCTCTATACTCACTGAAAACATTTGTACCAGAGGAGGCATGATCCTCAACGAGTTCCACAAGGTTAAGGGGGGAAATCCTAGTTCTGCCTCGGGGTTCTCCTCCAGCCCATTCTTCATTCACATGCTCATTAGGAACAATACTTTCTCCCTCCAAGAAACTTGGCACATCCTTCTGGTCTCCAATATATTCAAACTGAGCACCACATCTTGGACCCCTGAACAAAGATTACATTTGTGGGTTAAACTAGAGAGTACTATTTTTCAAAAAGCTTTAATACCTTCATTCAGTCTTTCAATAAATATTCTGTGTTTGCTATGAAACACGATAATTTAAACTAGTCCATGAAAAACTTTTTCAGATATGAACCTGTTCACATAGGAAGTCTAGTCAATGTCACAGAAACATGCAGAACTCCATAAGCTGGTGGTCAGTTTGCACTGCCATGTCTCATGACCAGTCTCTACATCTCTGTATTCTTGGACCACAGTAATTCATGGCTCAGTCTGAGCCCTTTCAGTTATAAATGCACTGGGCAAGACATCAAACTTCCATGACAGAATGTAATGGGCATCAGCTGGGCAGACTCTATGCTCAATAAATGTTGAATCAATTATGAGTTGTATACATAGATGAATGATCTTCAAAATTAGAAGGTTCGAATAAAATAGAAACGTGGCATACTATCTTATAATACTTAATCTTTTACCTAACACTGTTGGTTTAAAAATGATTTTTGTATCTCCTTTAAAAAGGCTTAGTTTCTGAGAATTAGAACAATCATTAAATGATTGGCAATTCTGACTTTAAATAAGAGATAAAACTGTGTTCCTAGAAGGCATGATTTAATACCAAACCTTCCATTTGAGGAGTTAGAAAGGAAGTTTCACTAGCAACAGGCTGAGGAGATGCAAATGCATGAAGAGAAAAGGTTGGTACAGGATTCAATCAAATTCTGATATAAGTCAGGTCAATGGACCAAGGGTCTGTGAGAGCCCACTTCAGGTCAACCTGCTGACACATTAAAAGCAGCTTATAAATAGGAGGAACATTTGAACCTGAAGTAGAATTCAACTCGTATGGCATCCGGAGTTTCTTATTTGTGGTAACCTTTGCATTTATTTTCTAAAGCCCTCAGGGAGCATCTATGTATGTCTGACATATTAAAAGCCAGGTTTACAGTCTTCAGCAAGTAGTGAACGAGTCTATTATTTTGCTCATTTAACTGGGTCATAAAGTTGCACTGTGGCGATGTTTTAAAATCATACAAATAGTTAACAATGATGCATACAAAGATATATTAATTATGAAAAAGGTCTTCACACATAAAAGAAGACCCTTCCAACTTAACTCTTCTTTTAGTCTCTTCTAGCTCCTCTTAAAAACAAAACAGTACAAAATGTCTAGCTGCTTTTGTAGGGTTCATATTTCTATAAGGTTAAATACTTTCTATGACAAGAATTTTGAACCTTTTAAAAATGTGTTGGTAGATAAATACCAGATGGCCCAAATACATTACGCCGGATGACAAACTGTCTCTGTTCAAGGCCAGGCGGTGGGAAATAGCAAGCTGGACTCCTTGTTCTATCTACATGTCCTGTATTGATACGAGGAGTTGCTTAGGTCAGCTTGTACCAGCACGGTGAATTTTCATTAACATGTTAATCCACTATAACTTTTAAACAAGTATAGTTTTCCTCATAAATCAAAAGACCCTGCGAATAAATACTCACACATCTGAAGTGTCTAAGCTTGGTAATTATGGTATAACTAGAGGCCCAGTGCACGGGATTCATGCACTGGTGGGGGGCGTGGCATGCAGGGACTGGCCCGCTGTGGGAGCACCGCACATCCAGGTCAGCAGAGTGGCTGTGGACCTGCCCTCTGAGCGGCTTATCCCAGTCAGCCGAGTGTCGCTCTCACTGTGGGAGCACACTGACCACCAGGGGGCAGCTCCTGTGTTGAATGTCTGCCCCTAGCGGTCAATGCGCATACAGCAACCGGTTGTTTCCACCATTTGGTTGATTTGCATGTTAGGCTTTTATTATATAGGATTGGTCACCTCCTTTGTATTTTGTGTAAAAGAACACAAATAAAACTTACTTATTAACACAGTGAGATGAAACTGATTCTCTTTTCCCATTTCCTCCTTCTGGAACATCAATCTAGTAAAGACAAATCAAGGCAACCATTGTATTATTTTCAGATTTTAATAAGATGAATTGAAGGCTAGGTAATTAGAAAATACATGATAGAAATTAACAAGTTTGACAGGTGTTTAACTGATTAAGTGATACTATAGGTGCCAAAGGTAAGAAATCCAGAATTTGGTTCTAAAAACACACACACACACACACATAACTTGTAAGGCAGCCTTCATTGAATAGCAAACCAATCAATTTCTTATTTGCTAGAATAAGCACATTAATATAATTCTACCCCTGACTGAATTTTCTCTATCCCATATCCCCAAAGTTGAAAACTTTAGATGAGGAGGATTTAAGATAGAGACTATGCATCGGGCATTTGACATCACTACCATGCCTTAAATGTTGGTAGAATTCTGCAATACTTTCTGACCCCAAAATAAAACCTTTAATCAAACTTGTGGATTCTCCACTTCCATAACTCTGGAATATTTTTTCCCACCAATGTGAACAGGGAAGGAATTAGTACCCAAGGCACAACTCCTAAGTGGCAAGCACTTTATATAATATCTCACTTACAAGGCTCAGTGAAGCTAGGTTGTTATAAAATTTTTGGCCATAATATATTCAGTCTTTGAGATCTATATAAATAAATCAGTGTCCTAATTAATGAATTCTAAAAACTCAAAATTTCAAAACAATTTTTTAAACTTTCAGGCTTAAAAATAATACTTAACCAATAATGTGACATATTCAGTATAATTTATTTTAGTGACGTAACTGCTTTTTAAAGTTCTGTTACATTGGGTAGGAGAAAAATGAGGAAGGGTGATAAAACTAACATTGATCTTAATATTGATTTGGTGAATGTGGTTGGATTTTCCCAAAGAATCAGGGTATATTTATACTGGACAATTTTTAAACGCTACATTTAAAAAATATATATTTTATTAATTTTTTACAGAGAGGAAGGGAGAGAGATAGAGAGCTAGAAATGTCGATGAGAGAAACATCGACCAGCTGCCTCCTGCACACCCCCCACCGGGGATGTGCCCGCAACCAAGGTACATGCCCTTGACCAGAATCGAACATGGGACCTTTCAGTCCACAGACCAACGCTCTACCACTGAGCCAAACTGGTTTCGGCTAAAGGCTACATTTTGTAATTCAAGAGACTCAAACTCATTTATATTAGGAAAACACAGGTTCTCTGTTATATTTGTGTGTTTTTAAGTCTCAAATGCAATGGAAATAAAATATATTTTAAAAAAGGATATATGTTAATTATTTGAAAATTTAGTAAAAAAGACTCATTTGCCCCCCACCCCTTTCATAGCTGTTAATGATCAACTATTTAAGCTAGTTTTATTGATATTTTCCAGTATCAGTAAGTCATATCAGAGACTGAGTCATACGTACTCTCTTTTAGTTACAAAGTGAAGTGGTAGTTTTTATATTTTATCCCCATGTTTCACAGTCACCTGGGCTTAGAGTTAGCACTTATAGGGCTCGACCATATTGGTTTGCTTTTACAAGTTAGGCTGTGAAGGAGTATAAAATGCTGACAATTTAATATAATTCTTCCCAATCGAATTTGAAATTAGCATGTGAAAAACCATTAATGGTTCACTACCTCCAATGAAAGTGCTTTAGTATTCCCAAGTCTATTTTTCTAAATGATAGAAATAAATGGAATGAAAAAATGAAAGAAACCAAAACAAAATGCATTTCAAAGAAAAGGAAAAGTGGTACTGTTAGCTTAGAGAATATTCCTTCAGAACAATCTTGTACCTTTTGAGTCTTGTTTACTAAATTTTCAAATAATTAACATATATCCTTTTTTAAAATATATTTTATTGATTTTTTACAGAGAGGAGGAGAGAGGGATAGAGAGCTAGAAACGTCGATGAGAGAGAAACATCGACCACCTGCCTCTTGTACACCCCCTACTGGGGATGTGCCTACAACCAATGTGCATGCCCTTGACCAGAATCGAACCTGGGACCTTTCAGTCCCCAGACTAACGCTCTACACTGAGCCAAACCGGTTTCGGCAACATATATTCTTAAGTGTTTATCAATCCTCTAAGAATAGCTGATTCACCAGATGACATGTAATGCTTTTTCACCTTAGGATTTCAGATAGCATTTAGAAATTAAGCTCTAGAATCCCATGACATATTAACAATTAAGCATTATCTAGTTGAAAAAACTTTTATTTTTTGAATTTCCAAACACCAATTGAATCAATGGAAGAGAGAACTAGAACCCAAGAATCTAAGCTTCCGATTACTTTCCCCAAACTGCACGTTACATAGAACCCACTGAACATATGACCAATTAAAACAATCATGACCCACTTACAATTACTTTGACATGGTTGGCAGGAAATAACCCAGTCTGGTTTCTACATTTCCCTCTGTACCAATCTGTATCTATTTTTTCCAGAAGATAAACAATTTCTCCAAAAGTGAGACTCAAATCACCAACTTGCTCTATAAGATAAAAAGATAAATTATTTTGGTTGCATGCAGATTTGATTAAAGCAGAGCACAAAGTATTTAGTTCTGTCTACCAAGGCAGAATGTTCTACTGACTCTGAGAACAGATTATACTAATTGAATTGACTTAAAAATATCTTTTTTAAAAATATTGCTGTTATGAGTTTCCTCTTTTAAGATAAAATTAAATACATTTATTATGCATTGACTGATGGGAAATGGTTAAACATACCCCCCAAAAAACAAACATTGTGCTGGCCAATGATTCCTACTGTGTCAATATAAACCTTTTGCTAAATACATATTGAATTATGAAAGGGTTTTGTAGATGTAAAATATTCTTATTGTTCTCAATCATGCTTAAAAATCATTGCAATCTCAAAATATTAACTTAAGGGAATACTATAGCTCTTTACTCACACTAAAATAAAAATCTATCAAATAGATAATATAAACTTATAAATAAATCAGGAATTCATCTGTAGTCTTGGATATAAAAGATATTTAAAAGTTGATTTAAAATTATATTTTCATCTCCTAGTAATAGCTAGCTATGTGTGTAGGTTTTACAGTTCTTAGAGAAAAGAACTTCATTTATTAAATTTTGAAATTATTTCACTATAATTATTAAATGGTACCCACTATTTTGAAAGTTAAAAAAAGTTTGCAACTGGTAGGTATTTTGTGGTTTGTTCATGTGTAGGGAAACACTCTCTTTTTCCCCTCTCATGGGAAGTTTCAAAAGCAAGGGCATGCAGCTAGAGTTTCTGGAATGGGTACAACTGAATATTCCTGAAGATGGGTGATTGACAAGATGGCCTCTCCAGTCTAGGATTCTGTTGTGCAGAGAATGAAGAAGGCTGGCCCTCAAGAGATTAACCCAAGGAGGATGCTCCTGGATTATAAGGGCTCTACCACTTTATTATTTATGTCCTTACCTGCTGGAAAATCATGAAGAACGACAGCATGAGGAGCACTACTGTCAACAGGCTTCTGCGTGTGGCTTGGTTCCTTTGGGGGAAAACAGGGCTGTGAGTGAAGTATTCAGGACGGACGCGGGACTTACATTCACTCTGAGACCAATTCCCCCCCTTCACTAGAGTCCTCTTGACATATGAGTACAAGATGCAAATCATACAGTTGAGCCAAAGAGAAGCATGTGTTCTTGCCCAGGGAGAACAGAAAATAACCCTCAATTATAATATCCTTCAGCATTTTTTAACAATGAGCGTTAAAACAAAATGTAATTAACTGAATTTTTACAATTTTTTTTTTTTTACTAGAACCCATTCTAACCTGAAGTAGTGGGTTGTTTTTTTTTGTTTGTTTGTTTTTTTATCTCTTTACCTATCTGGAGTAGCTTTTCCCTAAAACTGTGAAAAGGACTAAATCTTAAGAACAGAGCCTTAAAAGTTGTATCTTCATTAAGATTGGAAAAGAAGGAAGTTCTGCAATTGATATACTTACCTTTAATGAAAAGAGCTAATGACTTCCAAAAAAGTATAATTCACAAAAGTAAAATCTATTTCCTTTAGTGCCACTTAACTGAATGCTTTCTCTAATTTAGAAGCCAACACTACTTCCTATGCTTGGCCTAGATTTTCTATTTAATCTGAGTGGTTTATTCAATACAATTCCAAGTAAGTTAGCAAAGAGAATTCAATATTCTCTAACCATCTAGCCAACTGCCATAGATTAGCTAGAGAAGAGGACAAAGTTGAAGAGTGACCTTTTCTTATCAACAAGCAGTTGTTGTTCTTAGTTTCTTTATATAAACTAACAGGCTAATAAGCCCTATCATCATCATCATCATCATCAAATTTGATTAAAGGATATTATTTGGAGTTACAATTTTAAAACTCTTCAACACTGACAAACCTGTGAAATAAATGTAGGCACTTTTTTTTTTTATGTCTTTTTTGTCTCTTCAACCCAACTCTTGTCCCCCTCTGGAGTATCCTCACGCTTCCATTACTCTGTCCCTTCCTGGCCATAATGTGCCCAGTTGATCCAGACTGCACTGTGGATAATGATCCACCTTCTCCATTTCCACCCTGAAGCACCTCTGCTCAGATCTTCTCTACATCTCACCTGCTCTTTCAGCCAAAATGCACCTGTGGAGGCATGCTGCATTCTCTCAAGGTAGGTAAACTTACCAATTTAGGTCAAGACAGTAATGGCTAATAGCAGTTTATTATATGAGTTTACCAAAGTAACGCTGACATTTTCTTAGGGGCCACTCAGCACTTTCCCTTAAATAAATGAGCATCATGAGAATTTCAGGGATTACAGAAAGAAACTGTGACTTATTTTAAGTCTGGAGGGGCTTTAAAAAAATAACTATTTATGCCCTGGCCAGTGTGGCTCAGTTGGTTAGGCATCATCCCGTGCACTGGAAGGTTGTTGGTATGATTCCTGGTCAGGATATGTGCCCAGGTTTTGGGCTAATAACCTGTGGGGACGTGTGGGAAGCAGCCAATCCGTGCTTTGCTCTTGCATCGATGTTTTTCTCTACCCATTTCCCTTCCTTTCACTCTAAAAATCAATTAAAAAATTTTTAAAAATAAAGAAATTATCTACATAATTTATTCTATGCGCATATGTATGTTTTTCATCCCCCCCCCCTTTATGTCTGTGGAAAAAAGGAATGACTACTCAATTAATTGTATTAGACTAACATCCGGTCAAAATAGCGGTGTAGGTTTATGCGGTAATTGCATCCTCCCACAACCACATCAAAATACAACTAAACTATGGAGCAATCAACATTCAGAACCACCAGAAATCTAGCTGAACAGAAATCCCATAACTAATAATACAAGGAAGCCACCACCCTGAGATTACCCCTACCGGAGGGGTCTAGATGTGGAAGGGGCTGAACCTACACCCACATATAGCAGATAAAAATTGGGAGGGATATTGCCACTATTGAGGTCCTCCCTGAGGAGTGGGGTGCTAGCCCCACACCAGGCCCCTGGTTCCAGTGCCAGGGCACATATTAGAATCAACCAATGAGTCCTGGTTTGGTGGCTCAGTTGATTGAGTGTCATCCTGTGTTTTGGAAAGTTGTATGTTTGATTCCTGATCAGGCCATATATCTGGTTATGGATTTGTGGGAGGCAACCAATTGATGTTTCTTTCTCTCTCTCTCTTTCTCTCTCTCTCTCTCTCTCTCTCTCTCTCTCTCTCTCTCTCTCTCTCCTCTCTCTCCCCCTCCCCCCCCTTTTCTCTCTAAAAATCAATAAAAACACATTCTTGAGGAGGAAACTGGTCTTGCAGGGCATGTCAGGCCTTAAAAACTGTGAACAATGCACTGCCCTGAGGGAGGGTCGTTATCACTGGCCCCAGGACAGATAATAGGATGTGGCCTGGGGACCCTCAACACCTGGGGCTTTCCTGTAAGCCCATGAAAGGGGGTGGAACCGTGTCTGCAGGACTAAGACCTCAGTAGGTTATAAAAAGTGAAGCCTCTGGGTGTTTCTTCACTCTGACTTGGAAATTATTCCCAGAGTCCACTAGTGTTAATAAATGGGGTCCCTCCCTTTCTCTAGGAAGTGTGCTTCATATTTCTTTGGTCTTCTGCAACATTCTTAGGCAAGGATAAAAAAAAAAAAAAAAAAAAAAAAAAAGAAAATCGCCAACAAATGCATAAATAATTGGAACAATAAATTGATGTCTCCCTTCCTCTCTAAAAAAAAAAAAATAAACATTTAGAAAAAAAAGTACAAATTGATAGTTACAAAATAGTCATGGGGATGTAATGTATAGCATAAGGAATATAGTAAAAATATTCTAATAACTATGTATGCTGTCGGATGGGTATGAGATTATTGGTCAAAATGATCACTAAGTTAAATAATTACTGGGTTGAAAGTAATATAATATTGTATGTCAACTCTAACTGAAAAATGAACAATTATATAAAGTAAAAAATAAGTAAATAAATTGTTTTAGGCTAGATGGCTATCCATTTGGGAAATAAATGATATCAGAAGCCTACCCCACACAAAACACAAACATGAATCTCCAAATGAACCAACAACCTAAACATAATCAGGCTTGGGAGAACAGAAGATGTGCCTCCCAATTAGCTTCCCTCTCTGACTTCAGTGCATGGATAACACTAGGAATGCTGCTCATCCATTTGGTCTAGTAGGTGAAGGGCAAGATGAAAAGGCTAAACAAGGTTGGCCACTAGGGGTCAGTACAACTCAGACCACACCATTAGGTAACTCTAATATAACTTAAAGCTCTTTTTAATATGACTGCCAATGCAAATGAATAATAAAAGCCTTCTTCACTTACTGTGCTACTCACTGAGTTAAACACCTTATATGCCTTATTAGCTCATTTAATTTTTTTTAGCTTATTTAATTTTAAAAACCATTTTCAAGATATAATTCACATATAAAATTCACCCATTTAAAGTGTACATAGTTTTACTATATATGCAGAATTGTGCAACCAACACCACAATTGAAGTTTAAAACTTTTTTAATCACCCCCCACCAAAAGAAACCTACCCATTAGCAGCCACTCCCCCCAGCCCCTCAGCCCTAGGCAACCACTAAGCTACTTTCTGGATTTACCTATTCTGGACTTTTATATAAATGGAACATATAATATGTGTTTGCAACAAGATAAACAATCTCCCTTAGAAATATTTTCCCATGATCTTCAGATTTAACCTCAACTAACAGCATTAGATATTTTCTGTTTACTAAGATAGGGGAAAATATAGCACATTTTCTGAGATCTTTACCTTAAAACGAGGCTTTCAAAAAGGTAAGATTTATTTTCTAGAAAATGTAATGCTAGCCATGAACCCAGAAACCTGAATGAGGTTTCATTTGAGCATCACGTAGGCCAACTCTGCAAGCCTACAGTACAAGATGAGTGAGATCATACTTAATGTGGAAAAAAAATTTGGACTGTTAGAATAAATTCTCATCGTTTAAGCCTGCCCCTCCCTTCCTCCCTCCCTTACTTTCAATAAACTTAATTCTTTATTGTCAAAAGCATTACATATGTAGCTTCTATTTTTCATAAAGAAAAGCTTTTGGTCAGCCCAACTCCCATGGTTACCCCTCAGTGTGTTTTCAGAGAGGAAGGAAAGCTGTGACAGAGGGATTATGCTCAATCAAAACAAAGAGAAAATGATAGAACTTTGTCTACATGAATTAAACTTAGAATTTTCTGTATCTCAGCTGCAACTAGCTTAACATGTGTCTTCTCTGCTCTCCAATATACAAATTTTTAGTTTCTCAGCAAACTTCAAAACATAAACTGCCTTCTAAGAAGAAAGAATTGGACTGGATTATGAAAACTAGGATGAATGGGAAACCAAATACTTTACTTGGATTAAATGATTGGTGGATATTATTTTTCATGTTTGCTACATTAAATAACAGTTAAAATTTAACTGGGTAACTTAAGAAGCTCTTTTTAAAATATACCTCTAAACACAGTTCAGTGGCATTTTTCTTGCTAAACAAATGAACTTCGATGATCAATGTATTCTCTCAGGATCCACAAATTTGTTAGGCTTAAATTGTAATTTCAAGTTGTTGGACTACATTTCATTTCATTATTTTATGAGTTGTAATCAAAGAAATGAGGTTTACACTAAGCTTAAATCTTACGAGGGAAGTGCTTTTTTATGGCAGACTAAGCATTTATAGGGGCCCCTTTAAAATAATCATCCATTCTGCTAGGAAACTAATCTCTGGCACTTTAGTACACATCTTTCCGTTATTTAAAAATAAATGACTCCCACGGTTGAAAATTAATGAGTGAGGGCTCTGGCACGATATGAAGAAGGCAAAACACGTGGTAGTCACCGGTCTCCAGGTGATTAGTAAGGCAGTGGCAAGTCTCTTAGAAGTAATTTATTCTTCAAATGGAATAAAATGCTACTGTAATTTTCACTCTGGTTAAGAAAATGCTGATAAAACCTGAGGATGAGATATAATTAATAGTTCTTTGAAATGTGCTGCCATGGGTGATATGAGGGCTGTACAATATTAATTCCTTTCCGTTTGGTCTGCTCCGAAGATGTTCATCAAGTGGGGTGATAATCTTCATCTGAGACAGTGAACTCTACCAGTGCCTTCTCCCTTTTGGCATTCCAAGTAATTATTTTCTGCCTGCTTCAGCACTACAAGGACGTCCCCATGCTGTAAGGTACAATACCACTCTCCGAAGCAATTATTATTTAATAAAACATTATTACTCTTCCCACATTTTAATCTTTGAAGCCTAAAGCATTTAATAATGTGTAAAGAAGTAATGACAGAGGCTGGTGACTTTTTTTTTTATATTTGTCAGTAAAGAAAGAGCTGTATTTTACCTTACAAGAGAGTTCTCCGGGGTTTTGCGAGACAATGTCTTCATTGGCAATCCCATGAGGCATGGACAGCTTAAATATAACCCAATAAAAGGATTATTCACAATAAAAAAAAAAAACAAAAAACCCTCATCATAAATTGCTGGTCATTTGGAGATTTGGAAGGTGTAAAGCACAACTTCTCCAGGAAAATCTTCACCCGACTTCCTCATGCTCCAGGTCTAGTGGGGCCTGCCATTTCTCATAAAGACTGAGTCCTTGGGGGTGTGGAGGTGAGCCCATAGCTGAATGTGGCCTAAAGTTCTCCTTAACAACTAGAACCAGGAAGTTCTCTTCCATAAGACAAGGTCCAACAAGTCACCTAGTGCTTGGAGCACAGGAGCTCGCAGCCTCTAAAACCTGCCTTTGAGTAAGGGTTCTCAGTGGCTGTTTGTCTTCTGAAGGCTGGTGGGGACAGGAAGCTCCTCTACAGGCTAATGACGCCTTCATTTGTCTCATCTTACAAGGCATCTCTGCTACAAAGCGTCTACTTAAACCCAATTCATTGCCTGACTCCAGTCACTTCCTGGTTCACTCAGCTCTGTCTGATTTTAGAATGGCTTCTATATCTGTACCCAACCCTGGCCAGGGGGCTCTGTTCCCTGCCATGGTCAGTTTTGGCTGATGAGTACAGGTCAGAGGCCTTTACAATATAAAGGCATTCCTAGGGAATGTGATCACCCAAGCTCACTTTCAACAAGGAAAGAGGCTGCTTGGACCCCTCCATCACTCAGGAGCAAAGATGCAGAGTGCGAGGGGTTAGGTACTGATGCTTCCTAGCATTTATGTCAGAGTCCCAGGGCTCCCAATGTACCCAGGTTCCTGGTTAGCAACTTAACGGCAGGGTAGCCTTGGAAAAAATGAGGAATTTAAGAAATTATTTCATAATGAAACATACTCCTCTAATATACCATTATTTTCAATTCATTAATTTGATTCTTTGAATGCTTTTATCGACATTACATGGCTATGCTAAGAACCATAAGTACTACTTTCATAGTATGGCATAATAGTTAAGAGCATGGGCTCAGAGTCAGTTGATCTGTGCTCAAAAGCTGGTTCTGCCATTAACTAGCTTTGCTCCCTATTTTTTTTTTTTTTTTTTAGCCCTAGCTGGATTGGCTCAGTAGATTAGTGTTGGCCTGTGGACTGAAGGGTCCTGAGTTCAATTCCAGTTAGGAAACATGCCCAAGTTGCAGGTTCAATCTGCGGTGGGGGGTGTGCAGGAGGCAGCCAATCAATAATTTTCTCTCAGCATTGATGTTTTTCTCTCTGCCTCTCCCTTCCTCTAAGAAATCAATAAAAAATAACCTATATATATGAAAGCCTAAGTGACTGTCCGACTGTCCAACCATCCAACTGATAGCTATCATGCACAATGACACCAGGGGGCAGACATTCAATGCAGGAGTGCTGAGCTGCAGTGACTTGGCAGCTACAGTTCTCAGGTGACACACCCAGAACCAGAGAGGAGGGAGCCTGGGGTGTGTCACCCGAGAACTGTCCTCTCGCAATTGGGGACCCCTGGGGGGATGTTGGAGAGCCGGTTTCAGCCCAATCTCCACTGGTGCACAAATCTGTGCACTGGGCCTCTAGTAATAAATAAAATTAAATATATTTTTTATTGTTGATAGTATTACAGATATGTCCCATGTCTCCTCCCCTTTACCCCTGCAGTTACTTAATGTCTCTGTACTATTTTATTCACCTGTATAATAGGGATAATAGTATATCTACCTCACAGGGTTGTTGTGAGGAATAAATGAGTTATTTAACATACATATTGTGTTTTGAATAATACCTGGTCCATAATAAGTGCACAATACATCAAGCATTATTTTTATTTATTTATTATTTAAAAATAACCTAACCCAAATAATACTTCTGGGTTTTAGCAGTTAAAAATGTCACCGGTTTAAATGAAGAAGAATATATATGAATATACTACGTTCTTTTTTATCTATTCAAGGAAAATTTTATAAAACCCTAAATGGCTTAAAGTGAAAATAATTTCTGGCTCAATGATGGAAATGCAGCACAATATAAAATTATTAGCTGCTGTTCTTGATAAAAGCTACTGTCATGCAATTGTTTAAAAAGTACAAACAGGCCCCGGCCGAGTAGCTGAGTTGGTTGAGCATTATCCCGATAAGCCAAGGTTTGATCTCTGGTCAGAGCACAAACAAGAAACAACCAATGAATGCATAATTACGCGCAACAGCAAATCAATGTGTGTTTTTTCCTCTCTTTTTAAAAATCTATCAGTAATATATATGTATATATATTAATAGTACTGATCTATTTTTTAAACATTTTTATTGATTTCAGAGAGAGAGGAAAGGTGAGAAAAACATCAATCAGCTGCCTCCTGTACAACCCCTACTGAACAGGTGACCTTTAGGTGTATGGGAGGATGCACAACCAACTAAGCCACACTGGTCAGGGCTCCCTATTTTTTAAAAACGTATTTATTTTTATTTATTTATTTACTTATTTATTTATTTATTATTTTATTTTATTTTTTTTAAAATATATTTTATTGATTTTGTACAGAGAGGAAGGGAGAGAGATAGAGAGTTAGAAATTTCGATGAGAGAGAGTCATCGATCAGCTGCCTCTTGCACACCCCCTACTGGGGATATGCCCGCAACCAAGGTACATGCCCTTGACCAGAATCGAACCCGGGTCCTTCAGTCCCCAAGCCGACGCTCTATCTATTGAGCCAAACCGGTTTCGGCGCGTATTTTTTTTATTATTGATAGTATTACAGATACCTCCCATTCCTCCTCCCTTTACCCCCACAGCTCCCTATTTTTATTTGTCTTGGATTTTATTAGGTTAACCAAACCAAAGTGGTGAGAGCACATCAACTCTGTTTTTAAGTATAGAAAATGAAGACAAAGGTTTAAGATCATATGATGAGAAAAATATTCATAAAAGAACTATTACCTCAACTATTCCAATTATTAATGAAAGCTTCTAATTGGTAACAATAAAATGGCCCATGATACTTAGGTTTATAAAAGAGGAAAATTAGGGAAAAAAAACAAAAAATCATTCACCTTAACAAGACCTTTTTTTCTATTTTATTTTAAATTTTACTCTGTGGGCAAAGGATATAAACTATAAAATCTGTCAGATTTTATAAAAACCCTTCAATATAACCTACTGGTCAGGTTTTCTAGAGTTGATGTTTGGTCAATTCCTGTCTGCACTGTCTCCTATTCCTATATTTCTCCCAATAAAAACTGGCTTTAAAGACCTAAGTTTTATTATGGACTACTTATCTAAGGAACTCTTCAGGTCAAGGATCAAGTCCATATCTGTCTCATCATCTTCCTCTAAGGAATAATCATTACTTTAGGACAAACCTCTTGGCCACAAACATTTTAAAAGCTAAATTTACCACGTATTTCCTGTAGAGAGGGTGTCCTGGTTTAGGGCGAGGAGGTAGCACCGGATCTTGACTTTTAAAAACTTGACTCTTGGTTTTTGTGAGTCTGGAAGCCACGTTATTCTGTTTTTTCTGAAGATCCATGTCAGAAGAAGACCGATTAAAAGGCAGTTTCTTATTTGATGTTCTGGCTGTAGAAAGTCTCGGGGGAGGTGGTCTCTCAGGGGCCCCCCTGGGTGGAGGCTGTCGAGCTGGTGTGACTCTTCCATTTATAGGTCTGAAAGGCAAGGTGCGAGCTGTGAAGTGTTTGATCAACATTTAGGTTCTGTTTTGTCCTAACACACATGCACACGCACAGCTCTCTGCTAGCACAATACAATTACCTAAACACGCAGGGTATGCTATTTCTGAGCAAATGGCTGCTGCATTAAACGTTATATTACTAGAGGAAATGTCATGATGTTCCAGCTTCCTCTCATCCTGCAGTAGAGATTCATTAGTTCAAGACAAACAAGCATTTACTATCATGAGCTCTCTAATGCCCCATTTGCTCATAAACATACCATGACTGTTTCAGGAAACTAAGCACATTCTACCAAAGTCTGAGATGAAAAGCTTATAACAAGATGTCAGGTATATGTGATGTGGCCTAGTTCATGATTAGAAAAGGAACATCAAACTACCCTAATATTTATTCATGCTATAGGAATTACTATTTTAACTCTAGGTTAGATTAATATAAAGAAAGTTGTTTTGAAAATGAGCTAGGACAACCATTACTTTGAAAACCTTTACTTAATCCCTATCATAAAAATAATTTCTAACATAGGAACATCTTTTGATAGTATCACAGCTTTTTGTTCCAACAGCCCTGAGACTCAGGCTGGCAGGTCACCACTGAGCTCACAAAGTCTGTCTCCCTTTGGAAATGTCAAAACTGCGCTGATTCCTCAGAACGGGGAGTGGGTGACAGTGTGAGAATGAGAGTGTGAATGTATAGGTGTGCGAGTATGTGTTCATTCCAGAAGTGGAGTTGTTCCAGGTTCAAAAAGGAGTCTTGTTGGAGGAAAAGTAATAGAGATCTGTTTGTGTTCTGTGAGTTTTGGGGATTGAGTTCAAAGAAGAAGCAGAGATTCATTCCTACAACCTGCTATCAGAGCAGACTGTAGGCTAATGGCCTGGGTGAATTCGTGAGTTAATGTATCTGTAAAGAATATCTAAGGACAACAGCACTTAGTTTTGATGACAGAAAGGAAAGTCTAGTCTCTGAGGCATTAGCTGCTCTCTTACTTTTTAAAAGCTTTCTCACACTGACCTTGGTGGAAGCCTGGGGGGTCCTCGCACAGTGCCTCCCATTTGCCCAGCCTGGTCGGGTTCCTGCAAGTATCAGGGAATGTTTTTTAGTTAAGGTTTATCTGAAACAAGACCTTGTCAAGAGGAGCTGTGGACAACTTTTTGGCTGGATCTATAAGTTGAAATGTAGCTGAATTAGAGAAAGTAAAGCAAGTTAGAGAGAAAGTAGATAAAATTTTTAGTCTTAAGCAATATTAACTCATTCCACATTCCCACCTAAATTGTCCACATCCTAATACAAGTGAAGACATAGAGGAGGGAGGAGACCTGGCGATCTGCTATTGTGAATCACGACCCAACCAATTTCCCTGCACTGTTGAACACCCAGCAGATTCAAAGGTATCAAGGATGATGCTTCAATCATGATGGGTTACACAGTAGCAATTTAAGCCGAAACTGTGGAAAATGAAAAACAAAAACAATGGCCTTTATTTATTCCATGATGACATGTAAGACATGTACTGCTCCTAAGTTTAACACATAAGTTGCAGGGAAACTGCCTATTGTCTTCACTAGCAGAGAGGTGTGGACAAGGATCCTGGAATGCTGGTGACTCTTAAGTTCAGAAAGCTGTGACCACAGAACAAAGGAGTGGATGCGCCGAGAAGAGATTTTTTTAAAAAATTAATCCTCAGTCAAGGATATGGAGAGAGAGAGAGAGAGAGAGAGAGAGAGAGAGAGAGAGAGAGAGAGAGAGAGAGAAGGGAGAGAAAGGGAGAGAAAGGGAGAGAAAGAAAGAGAGAAAAGAGAAAGAAGGAGGAGGAAGAGGAGGAGGAGAGGAGAGAGGGAGGTAGGAAGGGAGGGAATAGGGGGTAATGTGAAAAACAAAAGACAGCTTGGAATGAGAGAAATTGGAAGTGTGGAGCTCAATAGAAAGATTTCGCTAGGGAAAGGGCTTCAACTGGGTTATTTAAATAACTTTTATGGAGATGGTGTAGCCCAAGGATTGGAAATGAGTATAATACATGGAAAATATTTTCTTATCTTCTGTTGAATGAGAAATTAAAACTTCTGTTTTTGGAGGGAAAAGTCCTCACCAAATTCTTCTAATTCTAATTTAATCTCCTTTTTAACCTTTTCTACTTTCTAAGCATCTAACACACTGACTTCCAGGAAATAATATTTATCCAGGACCTTATAAGGAGGGAAATGCCAGTCCTTTAATATTACACTGCCTTTTTTTTTTTTAAAGGAGGTTTAACTATACCTTGAACTAAGAGACCGTTGAACTAAGAGTGTTTCACTCCTTCTCTTATATAAATGAGTTAAAACTCACTTCAATGGGTTTTAATTCAGACTGAATATTTATAACTTTTCCTTAAGTACCAAATGATTAATTGCCAATCACTGCGATCATTGAAATATGTTTCAATGTTTTAAAACCCCATTTTTAAAAACAAATTAAGCTTGCCCTTAAAACTTGGTTTCACTAATGAGTTCAGTTAATGTAGTGAAGAGAGTCACCAGCTCATAAACCCTGCAATATTCCAGACTATAATCCATGCCTTATAAATATGCTGCTGCTGATATTTCCTCCTGACAAATACTGCTATGATAGTCAAAAAATTAATTTATTTCTTTGGCCACTTTAAAAATTAAAACAAAAAAGCAGAAAAACACTCCAGCAGATATGAAGGAACTTCAGTTGTTTTTTCTCAACATTATAATTATTAGACAACTTAATTAAAAGCAACTTTTAAAAATATACATGTATAAATTTGACATAGAAAGTTATAGAAGATGTACTATAATAAATACATACCAGATGATCCTAATCTACCAAATACTAGATGTAGTTTTCTCCAGGTGGTGCATTTTATATCTTAAATATCTTTTTCTCAATTTTCTACAACAAGCAAACTCTAAACCAGAGAAAAAGGCAATATCTTCAAATCCCCAAAGAACATTAGGCACCTTCTGAAAGGCGCTCCTGTATCTGACATACTGAGTATAAAGAAATTGTTCCTGCAGAAGCCACCGCCTTAGTATTTGCTTAAATTCAGGTTTATGCAGAGGTTCTACCAACAGTCTTTGGGAGATTGCTGATTAGGGCTTCCCTCCTCTTCAATAATATTCCACACCTAACTGGAGCTGCTCTGACCTCCCTGCATTCTGGCTTTTGATGTGATGTGTGTGGATAGGCATTTTAGTTCCTGGGGAAGTTGGTTTTTCTGCTGTACTGACTCTATAGATGCCATCTTTTTTGTTTGCAGATGCTCCTTCTCTTTCTCCAGGAACTGGTATCCTCTTTGTCTCGAATTTGTGACCCACATTCTGTGCTGTACCTGTGACTCCCTCCCGCCCCAGCAGGCAGCCTCCTTGGGGAAAGCTGTGGGAGTCTTGGGTTCCCATGACATGGGCAACAGGGCACCCAGAACATGTGCCTCTGCTGACAGAATGGCTCCAGTGGATCCTGATGCTCCTCACTGTGGAGCCCTTCATTGTTTTAGTGAAGAAAGTGAGATTCGGCAACGATAGCTGAATCTCACTTGTCCTGAGATGGAAAGTTCCTCAGCACTGAAGGCAGGAAAACAGGAGGGTTTTATGCTGTGCCGTCTCTGAAGACAACGTGGCAAAGACCAAACCTGTCCCCCTGGGTCATTACAGATCCTCACCCACATCTTAAGTCTTTGTGGCCTCTGGTCTAAAATAATTCAGTAATTGTAACTCTTAAAAGGAATTTCTCATAGATTTGACTTTCTGACCCTAGAAATCTATTTTTATAACATCACCCAAATCATTTAAGTTGTGGTCTGTTTCTCATCTCTTCTTCCAGTGTGTCTATTATGAGATGTATTTATTATAGTTCAGCACAGAATGGTTTGACACACACACCCTCACCCCCCACTACCTTATAAACAGTGCAGGACAGGATTTTCCTCATGTTGGTAATGTGAGGTACAAAAAAAGGTGAACATAGTATTTCTCCAGATGGTGTAGTTTATTCTAACTTCCTTTTCTTGTTTGTTTGTTTTTTTTTTTTTTTAAAGTGCACCAAATATAATACTTCATGTCTTAATACAGCTTTATGGTTTACATAGCCCATAACTTAAATGAATAATATGTATGCCTACTCATCATTCTCTCACTCTCTTTTATAATTCTTTAGAGAAGATGCTGTAACCTTCTCCTTTGGGGAAATTTGGGACTTTCCTATTCAACAATAGTATGGTAGGGGCTCTATCATCCTCTTTTGGAATTTTTTGGTCCAGTTTTAATAAACATTTATTAAAATGCAAGTGATCACTTTGAAAATGCAAGTGATCACTAAATTTCACTTCATCCTACAGGAAAATCTCATTAACTTGATCTTGGCTAATTCAATTTAATGTCTTCTTCCAAGATATTTCTCTTCAACTAGATGATTAGATAGTTTGTAAAATAAGCATAGTTAATATACAATGCAAAACTATTACAAAATTTGAACTGAAAATTTGTTTCACAGTCTTTAAAAATTGGTTTCTTTTGAAACAAACCTTAGATTATCTATCATATGGGAATTTCAAAAAGTATAAGGAAATTATATTAAGGTTGAAGGAAAAAAATGTTTAAAACTTTTTGCCCATAATTTGTTAAGAAGCATATGGTAAAGAACTATTTTTTATAAAAATTTTTAAATATATTTTTTATTGATTTTTTACAGAGAGGAAGGGAGAGAGATAGAGAGTTAGAAACATCGATGAGAGAGAGTCATCGATCAGCTGCCTCTTGTACACCCCCTACTGGGGATATGCCTGCAATCAAGGTACATGCCCCTGACCAGAATCGAACCCGGGACCTTTCAGTCCCAAGCCGACGCTCTATCCATTGAGCCAAACCGTTTCGGCTATTTTTTAAAATTTAAAAATAATTTTCCCCTAACTTTCAGAGTACCAAATTTTTATGGTAATTATCTTAAAATTATGTCACTAATTGGTATTTTAAAAAAACCTGATCATTGAAATAAATCTAATTCCACAAATAGTACAGGTTTTTAGAGATTTCTCAAAACTTCATTATTAAGGCTATTTAAAAGATATGGCTGATCAAAAAATAAACCCAGAGTCATAGAAGCATGAACAGACTGTTGAACCTCAGAGGGAAGGCAGAGGAGGGTGGATGGGAAGAGATCAGCCAATGAACTTGTATACATATAAACATAACCCATGGACAGACAATGGGGTGGAGAGGGTGGGCGTGGGGGGAACATAAGTGGGCTGGAAGAGGTTAATGGGGGAAAAAGGAGGACCTGTGTAATACTTTCAACCATAAAGATAATAAATAAATAAATAAATAATAAATAAATAAATAAATAAATAAATAAATAAAAAGGATGACTAGACAATGAAAGAAAGGAGGCCATTTATAATTAAAGAGTCATATTTTTCATGCCCCAGGGTATAGGACAAATTATTTTATGATGAAGTACAATGAATTGGCCTAATTCTTTTGTTCTATAGGGGTTTGTAAAATATAAAGCATCACATTAAAATAAGTACATGGGACTTAGAACCCGATTTGTAATAAGATATTTTTTTAATCTGGCCAGTAAACTAATTTGCACACATTTAAAATTAGCCCATCAGTTGGTCTGCAACCTACAACACTCTATAATGACCACTTACCAAGTCTCTAGTTCTGTCAACATTACTGGGTTTCCCAGATACCGCACTGTAAGTGTATCCAATAGGCTTTTCAATAGGGAGAGGAGGTGGGCTTTGTGCATCCTCATGTAAACCTGGAAAAATAGCAGTAATTCATCAATAATTTTTTGTCTTTGGGGATTCAAAAGAATGAAATGACTGCAGCTTGGTTCCTAAGGAAAATGGCTAAAAGATCCACACAAAGATGGATAGCTAGCCAAGCAAGTGAGAAAGAACTCCCAGCAAACTTCACAAAATTGATGGGTTAGTAAACATTAGATTAGTTACAAAATATTTTATAGAGAGTAAAAATAATGCTAAATAATAATGACAGTAGCCAACATTTTTGAGAACTTTCTATGTTTTTTTATCTGACCAGTAAAATAATTTGCACATTTAAAAAATATATATATATTTCATTGGTTCTTTACCAGAGAGAAAGGGAGAGGGAGAAGGAAAGAGAGAGAGAGCTAGAAACATTGATGAGAGAGAAACATTTATCAGCTGCCTCCTGCACACCCCCCACTGGGGATGTGCCCGCAACCAAGGTACATGCCCTTGACCAGAATCGAACCCAGGACCCTTGAGCCCACAGGCCTATGCTCTATCCACTGAGTCAAACAAGCCAGGGCAACCTGCACATATTAAAATTAGCACATCCGTTGGTCTTTAACCTACAACATGTGCATTAAGTTAAGGCATTTATTCATATACATTTCTCCAACCAACATCTATCTATGTGCTAGATCCATGCACTCCACTAGCTAGCTATTATTATACTAATATGTGGTGATTTAAATGTAATTCTTATAATTAAATAAAATTAAAATTTCAGTTCCTCAGTTGCACTAGCCACATTTCAAGTACTCAGTAACTGCATATGGTTAGTGGCTACCATATTGTACAGCACAGATCTGGAATATTTCCATCTCTGAAGAAAGATCTATTGGACAGCACTACACTAAATAATATCCTACCTGGCTGAAACCGATTTAGCTCAGTGGTAGAGCGTCGGTCTGCAGACTGAAAGGTCCCAGGTTCGATTCCAGTCAAGGGCATGTACATTGGTTGCGGGCACATCCCCAGTAGGGGGTGTGCAAGAGGCAGCTGGTCGATGTTTCTTTCTCATCAGCGTTTCTAGCTCTATATCTCTCTCCCTTCCTCTCTGTAAAAAATCAATAAAATATATATTTTTAAAAATATCCTACCTGTTTTTCAGATGAAGAATCTGGGAAAAAATATATAAGTCACCCAAGGTTTTAATGCTAGAAATTGTCAGAACCAGGATTTTGAACTCAAAAGGCTATGCTCCTTGTAATAGGCATGCTGTTTCTTAACAGGTGAGGTAGTCAACCTTCCCCCATCCAAATCTTTAAATGTGTTTTGTAATCCATTAGCTCCATATTAATGGGCATAACTGCCCCCTCAGTTTAACAAACAATACCCTTACAGCCAAACTACATCCTTACTTCAGTCATCGTGGACCCCCAACTTATTTTAAAAAGAAGAAAACAAAGATGACCAGATTTAATTAGAAACAACTCAGTTAAAATCTGTGTGCAAAAACACTTGGAGAGGGGATGATTGCCACACACAAAGGGGTGGGAGGTTTTCCAGTTCTTTTAGAAGACACTCTGCTGCCATTTTGCAGGAAAAACATGTATCAAGAGGATGATCTGTCAGGTTCCTATTTTGTCCAGAGACAGGAAAACACTCAAAAGGAGGAAAACATCCAGGCCAACTGCTAGACAAACAATGATTTAGAGATAATGAGAGACAGCGCTGCTCAGGGAATTAAAACACAGGAACATTCCAACTCAGTCACCATCTGCAAGTCTTTCTCTGTGCTGCAGTTTCCTTATTCTTAACAAGGAAGTAATGAATCATTTAGGATATGATATTGCTGTGACAAACAATTACAGGTACAAAGTAGTAACAATATGCAAGTAGAGAGGAGACAGCTGACTGATAGGAACGAACATAGGAATTATCCGGAGGGCGTACATGGGGAGATGGAGACTTCCAATTTCCAATAATGTGAGTCTCGAAGAAAAAAGTGGCATTTGAGCAAATAGCTGAAGGATGGTAAAGAGGGGAGCCATGCAGATATGCAGGGGAAGGAGTTGACAGGTTCAAAGAGCCATGGGTTTTGCACGTTGTTCCTTCGTGTCCTTTTCAAGTTCTTCAGACACCAAAAGTCTTATCTTCCTCCATGGTATATATGCATTGCTTCATCATTGTAATGATAAAATTCTTGGGAAATAATTCCATGGCAACTGGCTCATACATCATTTCTGGAGCTTTGTCAGAATAAATAAAGGTGCTTCCTCAATATACCTGTTTCAGGATTTCAGGACTATTGGTCCAATTTATAAGGGTGCTGATGGAATAATATGCTTCCTATATATAATGAGATAATAGGCTCTCTATGAGAGCCTATTTGCTATTGGTTTCAATTCTTTTCATACCATATCTTTACCAGAGGCACCAGGATAGGATATTATAATAGTATTCTGAGTTTCAGTCTCCCTCTTTCCTTTCTACTTAAAGACATTGTTAAAGGGAAATAAAATTCAAATTTACTGTATTAATTGTCTCAAGAATTATATAAAAAAAAAACCCACCCAACTTGCTTTTAAATGTCCTAGATTACAATGATCATAAATGGCTGATCACATTTACTTTCAAAGCAAGCATTGATAAAAGAGCATGTATTGTCCCCAGGATCTTGGAGAGCAAATAAAGGCGGCAGAGAAGCGCTTACATTTTCCTGGTTTGGCTGGAATTCGAATCACAGTGGGCTTTCTGGCGGGTGCTGGTTGAACTGCTGGTTCTTTTGTTGGTTCTGTCTTTGTGGGGACCTGAAAGGGATCTAATGAAAAACACAGTTTATTTTGCATGTTTTAGTTAACATGGACTCAAACAAAAAATCTCATTCATAATTAAAGAGTCATATTTTTCATGCCCCAGGGAAAACTACTCATGGATAAACAAAATCTCAGTTTGCAGAGACAAAAACAAAGTCGGAGCTCATGAAAGGAAATAACTGGATGCTCTGTAAATAATTCATATGGCTGTTCTTCCCCTCTGATGAGAGGGATCCCAGATAATCTTGAATTATGGAGAAGCTATCTTTCATGGGAGTGCAATCATTTCATAAGTATCCGCCTGAAAATGAGGGGCAAGTGAACTCAGGAGCCAATCTTCCCTCTACTGTGAAGCCTCCCAGGCCCCCGGGAAGAAAAGGCCTCTGTTCCCCACTCGCCTGTGCCTGTGGAAGACCTACCCACATGACTAGCACATGGTGGGTGCTCAGCAGAGGCTTAGATTTTAATACTTAAGTAAAATGACACTTCAGAAACATGAAAATGAAAAATATTTATCCTGAAAAAAAAAAAATTAAAACATCCTCTTTCAAATATATCATTTTGGGGTAAGGATACATGACTTGGCAATTCTTTATCTTACCTGATTCATTTAAAATAGGTAGTGTATGCCCTGGCTGGTGTGGCTCAATGGGTAGAGTATCAGCCCATGCACCTAAGGGTTATGGATTCGATTCCTGGTCAAGGGCATGTAGTTGGGTTACAGGTTCAACCCCCTGCACTTGATGATGTGCATGCAGGAGGCATACAATGTCTCTGTCTCTTTCAATTTATCACTTTCATTCTCTCTGTCCCTCCCTCCTCCTATATCTAAAAATCAATGGGAAAAATATCCTTGGGTGAAGATTACCAAAGATAAATAAATAGGCAGTATATGCTTAGAAAAAGTATTTTTTTAAAAAGCATAACCACCAAACTTTTTTCCTGAAAGGAATATTTTTTTCTTTAATGTCAATGTTCTTATAAGTAGTTTGGAAAAATGGCCATAAAATTTTTTTAAAGATGAAAAATCTAAAAATAAATAGATTAGCAAATCTACACTAATAAAAGAAAAACATGCAAATTGACCATACCTACACTACATCCACCAGCCACACCCACCATCCAATCAGGAGCAAGTATGCAAATTAACCCAACAAAGATTGCCACGAAGCAGGAGTGAGCAGGAGGCTTGGGTTGCTCCTGGCAATGAGGAAGCCATGCTTCCCACCCACTCTAGCCAGCCCTGGCCTCCACTCAAGGCTACAAAGTTTCAATTATAAAGTGACCAGATGTCCCGCTTTTGGTGGGACAGTCCCGATTTTTAACAATTTGTTCCGTGTCCCCTGGCGTTTTAAAAAAGTCCCAATTTTTGGAAAGATTCAAGGAGGCACTGAAAAGACAAAAAGGAGGGACTGGAAGATTGGATCACCAGGGGGCATGGCCATTCTGAAAACAGCCCTCAGCTTTATACTCAGGCTGGCCATACTCCCCTGGGGGAGAGGGTCCCCGCTGGAGGTTTGGCTAGTCTGCAAACAGTCATCAGCCCTTCACCCAGGCTGCTCCACACTCCGAGGGAACCCCCACCCTGATCCGGGATACCCTTCAGGGCAAACCAGTCGGCCCCCAACAGCCTTTTATCTATACTAATAAAAGGGTAATAAGCTAATTAGACTGGGAAACCTTCTGGACATTCTTCTGGATAAAACCATGGTGGCAGGGCCAAGGTAGAAGCAGTTAGAGGCCAAGAGGGGAGGGCAGTTGTGGGTGACCAGGCTGGTTGGGGCCGGGGCTGTTGAGGGTAAGCAGACCAGTAAGAGGGCTAGTTGGGGGCAAGCAGGATGTCAGTGGGAATCAGTTGGAGGTGATTAGGATAGCTGGGCGGAGGGGCAGTTTAAGAGTGAGCAGGCCAGCAGGGGAGCAGTTGGGGGCGAGCAGGCCGGCAGACAGAGCGGTTAGGGTCAATCGGCAGGCAGGCAGGTGAATGGTTAGGAGCTAGCAGTCCTGGATTGTGAGAGGGATGTCTAACTGCCGGTTTAGGCCTGCTCCCTGTAAACTGGCAGTAGGACATCCTTTGAGAGGTCCCAGATTGGAGAGGGTGCAGGCTGGGCTGAGGGACACCCTCCCACCCCATGCACTAATTTGTGCACCAGGCTACTAGTATAAAATAAAATGCTGTATAACTGATACTCTATACTGCACACAGGATCTCATGACACCACCTTTGCCTTTATTCAACAAGCAGCAGAATGAGTATAATCTGTAATTCTGCACCTGTTCTATGAGTATTTGCCTTAGGGAGACACTCCCTGTAAAACAATGCACTCCATAGCTCCTGTGATGAACAGCACTCATGTTCTGCCTGTTATGAGCTGCAGTTCAATAAGCTGACCAGTTCTTTGCAGGAGATGTGAGGAGCTGAGCTCAGAATAAGGAGGCCCTTTAGCTCCCTGATACTTCTCCTTGCCTTCCACCCAGTTCACAGGCAATCCTACCATCCGATACCCTCCAGAGGTATCACTCACTTGCTCACCTATGTATGTCTGCCATGTGCCAGTAACAGTGCTGGGTGGGGAGATACAAGAGTAAAGTACAATCCTATTTTAAGTTTATTATCTACCACCTAAAAAGGGCCTCCAGATGGCTGAAGAAAAAAATTTAGATGACCTCTCTGTGAAACCCTATCAGTCACAAATGAGGTGAGTCTTGTCTAAGTTAAAAAAACACACAAAAAACTCAAATTATCAGAACATCCAACTTTTTAAAAAGGCTCTTGTAACAATGTAACTTTCTTTCACCGTAACCTATATCCCCACAAAATAAACAAACAAAGGTCCTTCTTTTAGGCCTAACCAAATTCTTTAATCCTGGTTTTGTTATAGCATTATCTTCTACTTCAAAAGTAATATTTAAAAAAAAAAAATAGGAAACATATGACAGAAAATCTTCTGTAATCCTATTCCTCTGGGAGTAATTATTATCTAAGATGTGTATCTGTCCATAATTTTTTTCTATAGTACATGTATTATTATGTAGATATTTTTCAAAACAAAAACAGGATCATTTTATATCCATTTCTTTGTAGTTTGTTTTTCCACTTTTCTTATTCAGTATTGGTTGGGTACCTGCTACACATCAAACACTATTCTAGATGCTGGGAATACTTCAATGAACAAAGCAAAGAACTTTGCCCTTATGGTACTTACACTGCAGCAAGAGATGGAGACAGTAAACAATAAATAAAATAGATAAGTAGTTCATGGGGTATATTGGAAGGTGAGAGGTACTACTGAAAAAGGAAAAAGTAGAGCAAGGTGAGGCACTTCAGGTGTGGGCAGAAGAGCCGCAGATTGTAGCATGAAACAGGAGGGGGAAGTTGGGGAGGGTGCCATGACCGTCTTTCCAACAACTGGATTTTACATATTCTAATAGTTCTTCCAACTTGAATAATATACATTGTTTTTTTAAAAAAAACTTTTATTGATTTCAGAGAGGAAGGGAGGGAAGGAGGGAAGGAGAAAAAGAGGGAGGGAGGAGGGAGAAACATCAAGGATGAGAGAGAAGCATTGACTGGCTGCCTCCTGCTGGGGACCGAGCTCACAATGCAGGCATATGGCCTTCACTGGAATTGAACCTCGGACCCTTCAGTCTGCAGGCCAATACTCTATCCACTGAGCCAAACTAGGTAGGACTACACTGGTCTTCAAAAAACAGCAGTACCATTGGATAAAAAGGGGTAGATACCCTTGTATTAATGCTCACTATTGCAAATATTACCTAAATTTGAACTCTCTGAATAGTTCATTTATTCTGAGTAACCCTAGCTAAAACAAAAGAATTTAAAGAGCCCATGTAATCTTGGCATACATTTTATTCAAATACAGAAACATAGTATCTTTCCTGTGTGTATTTTTCCTTTCTGTTCTTCTTTCTCCTCTGCCTTTGCCTCTGCTCTGCCAACATGACTCTTGTTGGCACCAGGAAGCTCTAATGAGCCACCTTACTCCCCCAGCTGTTGTAGGGTGGACTATGAGGAACTTGTCTGTCCTCCCTCTCCCAATCGTGGTTGTATTATCCTATTCCCTCGGGACTCTGTTTCCTGCTGTGCCAGTAACAGTGTTGGGTGGGGAGATATAAACATACAATCCTATTTTAAGTTTATTATCTACCACCTAAGAAAGGCCCTCAGAGAAAGGAGCCAAAACAATCAAGAGAAGGGTTAAGGCTGATAATTTGTTCATTGTGATCTACCTTTCACGTGGCCTTTCTGCCCTAAAGACTGCTTTTTGGTACCTGTAATCTGCTGGTTATTAACACAATGGAATCTCGGTGCCAGAAGAAGAGAGAGAGCAAGATACTGAAAACCTACTTGAAGAAATAATGACAGAAAACTTCCCCCTCCTGGGGAAAGAAATAAACTTACAAGTCCAGCAAGTGCACAGAACCCAAAAAAAGAGGAATCCAAAGAGGACCACACCAAAACACATCATAATTAAAATGCCAAGGGCAAAAGACAAAGAGAGAATCTTACAAGCAGCAAGAGAAAAAAACAGTTAGTTACCTGTAAGGGAGTACCCATACAATTATCAACTGATTTCTCAACAGAAACTATGCAGGCCAGATGGGAGTGGCAAGAAATATTCAAAGTGATGAATAGCAAGAACCTATAACCAAGATTACTCAGCAAAGCTATCATTCATAATTGAAGGTCAGATAAAGAGCTTGATAGATAAGAAAAAGCTAAAGGAGTTCATCAACACCAAACCAATATTATATGAAATGCCGAAAGGTATTCTTTAAGAAGAGGAAAAAGAAGAAAAAGGTAAAGATAAAAATTATGAACAACAAATACATATCAACAAGTGAATCTAAAAATCAAGTGAATTAAAAAATCTGATGAACAGAATAAACTGGTGAATATAATAGAATCAGGGGCATGAAAAGGGATTGGACAATTCTTGGGGGGAAAGGGTGGGGGGGGTGTAGAAAGATACTGGAAAAAAAATCA